AAGAATCAGACACCATATGAATGCCTCAGAAACAGAAAACCAAGCTTGGAACACCTAAGAGTATTTGGGTGTCTCGCGTATGCTAAAGTGGAACCAGTTAACTTGAGAAAACTCGATGACTGATCTAGAGCCCTAGTTCACCTTGGAACAGAGACTGGATCCAAAGCTTATCGACTTCTTAACCCGGTTACCAGGAAGATTGTGGTCAGTCGTGACGTAATTTTTAAAGAAGAAACTTGCTGGAATTGGAAGGGAGCCGATAAAGACATCAGTTTCGAACCAGGAATGTTCCGTATGACTTGGGGATCGATAACAGATAATGGACATGGACCATTCACGATCGATGACACTCAGAGAGATAACGAGACGGAGACACCAGCTCATAATCACGACGATGAGATTATCGAGCCAAACGAGGAAGAAACAGAACAGAGTCCTGATGAAGCTGAACAGAGTCCCGATACAGAGCAACCTCAACCGAGACGCTCCACTCGTACAAGAAAACAACCAGGTTATCTCGAAGATTTCGTAATGTTGGTTGAGAGAGAAAGCGAGATGCTCCTCTTATCAATTAACGGCGAACCAACAAGCTATCATGAAGCAAAAGATGTCGAAGAATGGACTAAAGCTTGCTTAGAAGAGATAAACTCGATTAACAAGAACAAGACATGGGAACTTGTGGAGAAACCCATAGGAGCAAAGGTTATTGGTCTTAAATGGATATTCAAGATAAAAAGGAACGCAGATGGATCAATTAACAAGTTTAAGGCTCGTCTCGTCGCCAAAGGATACGTACAACAATCGGGAATTGACTTCGACGAAGTTTTTGCACCAGTAGCTCGCATTGAAACGATTCGGTTACTTCTAAGCTTAGCTGCATCAAAAGGATGGGAGATCCATCACCTGGATGTCAAAACGGCATTTTTGCATGGAGAGCTAAACGAAGAAGTTTTTTGTCGCAACCTGAAGGCTTTGAAAGGAAGGGAGAAGAACACAAAGTGTTTAAACTTTCAAAAGCATTGTATGGGTTACGTCAAGCTCCGCGAGCATGGAATACAAAGCTAGATCAAATCTTAAAGGGAATGAAGTTCAAAAGATGTTCAAGAGAAAGCTCCGTATACCGCAAGGAAGAAGAAGATGATCTTCTAGTTGTAGCCGTATACGTAGACGATCTATTTGTAACAGGAAACTCGGCGAAGCTCATTAGCAAGTTCAAAGCAGGAATGTCCTCTCAATTCGAGATGTCAGATCTTGGTAAACTTACATACTATCTTGGGATGGAAGTAAGTCAAACTGAAGATCAAATAGAAGTGAAAGAAGAAGCATATGCTCGCAGAATCTTAAAAGAGGCAGGATTAGAAGATTGCAACCCAACTCACATACCGATGGACTTCGGATTGGTATTGTCCAAAGGAGAGGATGAAGAAACAGAGATTGATGCCACCACATATCGAAGAAGAATTGGGTGTCTAAGATATCTCATTCACACCAGACCTGACCTCGCTTTTTCAGTCGGAGTTTTGAGCAGATTTATGCAAAGCCCCAAAGAATCTCACGGGAATGCACTAAAACAAGTTTTGAGATACCTTCAAGGAACTATAAGTCACGGTCTTATCTTTAAAAAAGGAGGAACTCAAAAGATTGTGGGCTATAGCGACAGCTCTCATAACGTTGACCCTGATGATGGAAGAAGCACTACAGGTCATGTCTTCTACTTTGGAGAAGCTCCCATTACTTGGTGTTCACAAAAGCAGGAAAGAGTGGCCTTATCTTCATGTGAAGCTGAATTCATGGCCGCAACTGAAGCCGCAAAACAAGCTATATGGTTACAGGACTTACTGAGTGAAATCACCGGAAAGAAGCATGAGACAGTAGTGATTCGAATCGATAACAAATCAGCGATTGAGCTTACAAGGAATCCAGTCTTTCACGGTCGAAGCAAGCATATCCATAAGCGTTATCACTTCATTCGGGAATGTGTTGAAGAAAACCAAATTATGGTCGAGCATGTACCAGGAGAAGAACAGTGTGCAGACATTCTCACTAAAGCACTTGCACGAATCAAGTTCAAACAGATGAGGACATTGATTGGAGTACAAGATTTGTCAGAAAACTACTTGAAGCTTAAAGGGGTGAATGTTGGATAAACTTCTAGTAGTTTCTAGTAGCTTATAGCCTAAGATATCTCATTAACAAGTAGGTTAAGAGATAAGAGGCAAAGCCTTTAGGATTAGGAAATATTCTTCTATTAGGAAAAGGAAAACAGTGTTGTGTTTTACCTATATAAATAGCTTTGTTAAGTTGTGACAAAGATTAAGAGTTTTGAAGTTTAGGTTTTGTGTTATTTTCCTAAACATTAATAAAGAGAGTTTGTTATTCTTAAAGCTTAACTACTTTAAAAACTTACCTTGAAGATCAAGTAAGAAAAGTTTGAAAGACATTTCGAAGCTCATGCAAGGCTTGAGCTACAACTTGGGAAGCTGAAGACAAGACTGAAGAGTCCTCACAATAAAAAGAATGGGTTAGAGACAAGAAGAGTCGATCAAAAGACGTGAAAAGGGGTGTTTTTGAGACTAGAAAACTTTAGATCATATCTTTTATTGCTAGAATAACTTTTAATTAGAGTCATTCTAGTGAAGTTATTTTAGATTTTTCAGGACTTACTGTTTTATAAAATTTATATTGTAACAACAGTCAATTCCCGAAAACCGAAAATAATGTAAAACATTGGTTTAGGCAAAAATATGATGCTCTAAGATGATTATCTAGGGGTCCTAATCATATAAATTTGGGATTTGTTCGGTTTGCCATTAATCGTTCTACAAGTTACAAGTTACAACGAGAATGCCCTATTTAAAACCTTATAGAACTTTATCCTACTTCTCAATCATCATCGTGATAAAAGAAATCAACTCTAAATCGGGACTTTACCTAAATCAAAAGGAGTAGTCAATCAAAGAATCACAAACTCCACAAACTCCTTCAAGGAAAACTCTTATTATGAAAATCACAACTCACCTTAAAAGTAGGAAGGGACATTTACCTGATCAAAAGCGGAGAAATTAAAAACGGCAAACTTGGTTTCTGCAATACCTCTATTTTTCCTATTAGAAAATGAGTTATTTAAAGATGTGGTTAGAACACAATTAGGCACGTAGAGATCGGTCTAGTGTAAGATATAGACATAAGCAAAAGAAGAATGAACTTACCATTGCTGCTAGACCAATGTCAAAATTTAAACACTGCGCTGTTTTGATGTAACATGAGGTATAAGAAACTGTAGAGACAAGTCAATCTAGTAGTTGGAGATGAAATACATACCTTCATGAAGATCTCATTCTTTTTCTATGCAGGAGTTTGAATACTTTATTCATAAAGTCTCAACCTAGATAAATGCAGAGGACTGGATACTCAAAATCTATCATAACATATTTGCTCTAGAAGATGCAGGAGTTACAGAGTTTATTCCAATCGGAAGTGGATATATATACCACATGCTATCTTGGACCAGCAATATGTAGAGTTTAAGCAGATAACTGAATCATAGACAAAAGTTATTAATTCCCATCAATATGCAAGCACTATATAAAATAAGTATTTCATGTTATCTCAACAAGATAAGATATAGAGCTTATACAGTGACTCAAATTTCTCATTCTTTGGAGCCGGCCCTAGCTAAAGCTCATAAAGCCTTAGTTTTAGACGCCAAAATTAATAAAATTATTTAGAGCAGCAAATTTAACATAAGTTCTTTCATGGTATATTGGTTAGCACATCCTTTTTTATCAAACAACTCAGGTTCTTGTCTCTTACATGTGTCTATATATTTTTTTTTTATATTTTGTTTTAGGTAATAAATCTATTAGAACCGGTATTTAGAGACATAATCACTATATATGTGCAGAATATGTACAAAAATTTAAACTTTTCAGTCTTGGGACCTGTATAATTGGACGAGCTTTTTCAAAACCAGATCTAAGAAGAATATTGAAATTCAAAAATATTACAACATCGTTGAATATTTTATCAAGCTGTCATGACTAGGAATAGAGGTTAGAAAGATATTTGAATTAATTCTCAATCTCGAGACACTAGGCTTCATTCTAGTAAGATGAAAGTTTTAGCAGATAGTTTAGTTGAATTTTCAAACCTCATAACACCATTTGAAATTTTGAACACCATTTGAATAAGTAGTTGTTCCTCCATCGATTGGCAGATTAGTGAGAAAATAAACACAGAATATATAAAAAAGGCAGTTGGGGCATACATGATTTTGACTAATTTTAGGCATAGTCACAAAAACTATCTTATGAACGTTTTGTTTATCAAATTTGGTAAAGAAGAGTGCTTGGGCTAAATCAAAAGCACAGTTACCACTTATTGTTTGCATTCGATATAATCTACGTATTAAAATGAACCAAATATTATTTTCTTTTCTTTTTGTGTATCACTTATGTTGTACATAAAATGATAATGCAGAAATGGATGCTCACATAGCTTGTACAGAAGAGGACCTATTTTTTCCCAACAACTGGTATCTGTTTCAGTGCACAACGATTCTTATGAAATTCTTCTAAAAATCTGAATGATAGACACATATGGATCAAGAAAAAAAAACAGACATTAAGATTGGTAGGTTAAATAATATATCATACAAGGTATGGTGTAATAGTAAATACCTACAGATATGTATTGATACACCACTCCAAACATTACTAGTATGACCACAATCCAAGAGTAAAACCAAAAAAAGCATCCAAAACAAGTTGAGAAATGGTGGAAGTATTTCATCTCGAATTATACACTTTATCATTGGGTTAGTTACTACTTACTAGGAGATCCTAAACGCTCTGGTAATCCAATATCAAGGTCAAACTTGAAACTAATTCTTCCCCAAACCATTTCGTTTTCTCCATCTAAAATCTAATTGATAAATTATTATTTCAAGCCACCAACTACGACTTCCATTGGGTTGAAATATCTAAAAAGAATTCAATTTGAAGAAGATAAATTGAAGAGAATAACATAAATATAGAAATGTGAGAGGTATTTAAGAAACAACAATACAATACAAGATGGTGTGCAAATAACAAAAAGTAATACATGTTGGTTTAGAAGAGCATTTATAGAGAAAAAGACTACTTCTGAGGTTTACAAAGAGTGTTTTTGAGTGATAATATCACAAGATCCCATTTTGGAGAAGCTTTTCTCTATTACTCATCGAAGGTGCTCAAGAAACCACCAATGAAACCAGCTCCATTGCAGTCCCCACACAACACCTCCTTCTTACCTCTGGCCACAAGAAATTAAAACTAGAAATGAGTTTTTTGTGTTTTGGAGAAGGAAGAAGAAGAAGAAGAACAACAATAAAAGAGGAAAGATGTTGCAAACCTGCAAAGCCAACAGAGCGCACCAGCTTTAAACTGCCCATTAAAATGATCAATCAAATTCACACCACCTCCTTTGCATTGAGAACATGCCACACAACCTTTGAAAACATTTTAAAAACAAAATCTTTGTCAAATTACTACAAATTCAGTTGTACAAACTAAAGAGATTATAAGCATTTACCGTTGCCTTCACAATTTTGACAAAGTATGCTGTTCGTTTTAGGTGTCTGAGTACCGTTTGTGGCCTATTGTTAGATTCCAAAAGATGAGATTTTTAGTTATGAAATGTTGAATTGGAGTAAGAACACTTGGTAAGAAAGGAACAGAGTATTGTGAAAAGAAATCTAACCTGAATCTCAAAACTTTTGGATTTCGAAGTCTGATGCAACACTTCTCTCTTCGGAGCCAAAGACGAGTTCTTATTATCACCAATTAAGAAGAAGCGAGTAGTTTTAGGGTTTTTGCTGGGAGATTGGAGGCAAAAGGTAGGAGGAGAAGCGAAGAAGCAGAGTGAATTCGCCATTTTTTTTTATTTTCTGATTCTTCTTACCCACTCGATAGCAGATAAGATGCTGCTCTCTATCTCCCCACTCTGTTTTTTTTGGTTTTTGTGTCTTTTACCAAAATACCATTTTCTTTACCCGCTTTAACCAATCCAAACCGGAACTAATTATTATATACCGGTTTTGTTGGGCTATATGTCTTGTGTGGATATCTTAGGGCGGTAAAAGACCCAACACAATGGCCTAGAAATCTAGAATAATGTCTCTCACAATAGAGATCTTAGGAAGAAGAAATGGAGCCTTAAAACCAGTGTTTAAGTTCATTTGTAGACAAGGAAATATGTGTATTGAATCCTTGGCAAGGAAGATCATTAGTTATTTACTAAGCTGTTTTAGATTCATGTATCCAACCATTGGTTAAATACTTAAATCCAATGGTGGAGAAAGAGAAACAGCTCTTTGTTTAAGTATTTAAGTTAATGAAGGTTTGATTTGAGGTTCAAACAAAAAAAGAGAAGCGCTAAACGTTTTAAAGGCGGTTTATAGTAAAACACAGGCCTAGAATCCAGGACCGTCACTGTATCCAAGTAGCCGAGAAGGCCACGAGTCACCTGCGCTAGCATACCTTGGACACGGCTTGCTCACATTTGAGCTACTATACATCATTGGCGCTTGTGTCTGCACACGCCCTGTCATGTCTGAAGTATCTTGTGTCTGTAGATCGGGTGGCAAAGGAAGGACAAGAACTGTGGCACCAGGAGGAGTTGCAGCAGATTGTTGAAAGCCGGCGCCTTGGAAAATTGGAAGTCCTGGAAACTGAGATGCGAGTTCGGGATGTTGTTGATAGTGATGATGGTACTCAGGTGCAGGAGAGGTGTTCAAGTCGGGTTTAGACTGATTCGCTCTTGCTTCTATCTCGTTTTGTAGTCTAGAGATCTCAGTCTCAAGCACTGATGTTTCTTCCTTCAGCTCATTCTTCTCTGTGGTTACCTACACACAGTTTCCATCACAGAGACTATTAAAACTATTGAGACAAACATCTTGAAGAATCATTGTTTAAAGCAATGAATCAAGGTTACTATAAGAAGAGAACAAGAGGGCTTACGTAGTTAGATTCAGAGAGGAGAGAAGTGTGCTCCTTTCTAAGGGACTCAATCTGACCAAACACGTCTTTCAAGAATCGAGTAGCTTCGCAAAGAATGGAGGCTTTACCACTGTTCTGCTGATTCAGTTCTGAGAAAAAAGAAAACTTTCCTGGTTAGAGATATCACAAACAGTAACACCATCTTATTCACAATTTGACCAGTCAGATTTCACTAACATTTCTATTTGCACAATTAGAGCCCAACACAAGTAATTGTTCATTCAAATCTATGGAAACAAACTTGGATTGCAAAGATGTGAAATTTACCAAGTGTATCTGCTAATTCGATGAAAAGCTCATTCAAATGCTCGCGTTTAAGCCTCTCCCGAACAGCCTTGTTAATCCTTTTGGGTACTTTACCTTTTCTAGACCTGTTGTAGCCAAAGATCCAAAGATGAACAATTTTATACACGAATATACACACACAAAAAAACCCATTTTCTTTTTTTTTTATCGGATGTCCCCGAAGGGACAAAAAACCCATTTTCTATCTCAGAAAATTCTCACCTTTCATCTACAGAAGCATTCGCTTCATCAGTCGATGTGGAAGGAGTTTTCGACCCCATCTTCTTGCTTTATTCTCTGTCAAGTCACCTGGAATTTAAAGAGAAAGGTGACTGATTTAAAAACAACCCAAATTGATGATTCTACTCTTATAATGAATGAAACTGACAATTCAATTAACCCCTAATGTCAAAACACAAAACCCACCAAGAAACTTTGGGAGCAGAAAAACAAAAACTTAAAAAAAAAAAAAAAAACATAATGGTTGGTCGTGTGATTTTGATTCCTCAAAAACTTAAAAGGTTCTGTTAGATCCTCACTTTATCACCATATTCTTTGTCAAATAAAAAAACAGTGATGAATTACTACACAAACAAAATACGGCTAACTTCTTCAAAAACGAAAGCTTTAAATCGAAACAAGTCAGAGAAATGAGAAATCTACCTCTCTCAGGCCAAGGCGGGAAGATATTTCCTTCAACACTGGTGATATTTTCTATCGGAAATTGTTTGAAGATCAGAGTTATTGTTTCTCTAAAAGCTACGAGAGATTCAGAGAGGGATTTGATAAATTGAGGAGTGAAATTGGAAGGAAACAACACCAAAAAAAGGATAAAAATGAAAAGAAGAGAGGAGGGCGTGTGGAGGCGCGTGGAGAGCATAGAGGAAGTGGTGCGTGTAAATGGGACACGTGAGCTCGACATGCGCCTTTCGCTTTTCCACTTTCGTCGTCTTCTATTACGTTGCGTGCCACTAAGCTCATCGATTATTTACACGTCATTCTAATCTTACATTAAAAAAAATAATAATAATAATAATCGAGTGGAGTGATTTTGATTATTCAGGTAAAGTTGAGTGTACCATTTTTAACCCTTTTTTTGTCGTCGAGTGTACCTTTTCTAACCATTTATGAAATTTCTACCGATTGTATAAAAATCTTTAGAATAAAAAACTGTAAGTACACAGAAAATTAGAATTCGTTCCAAAAAAAAAACATTTATGGCCGGTTTTTGACTTTTAAGTTTTAACGGAGAGGCGTGTGGGGGTCCACCTGATGGATTACGAAGGCATGAAAATGGTCCGTCTAGAGTTGATGACGTCCGTCTTCCGCCGCGGCTGGCGTGTGCCTCCCACAAACTCTTGTTGATTTATTTATTTATTTTATGGTCCATATATATCCTTACCATTTAAAAATTTATATTTATATTTATATTTTAGATATCTATCTATCTATATATTCATTTGTATAGTGATTTGCTTATGTGTCGTGCTCATAACGAATTTAACAGATTTTTGTTTACTATCAACTTCAGAGAGAGTTTCGGCAGTAAAATGATCAATTAACCCCAATTTGCAATTACATATCATTTTTTAATTGGTTAATATGTAATAATGTGTAAAAAAAAAAACTTAAAATAAATCAGTTTAAATTATTATGGTTTAATGTTTAATTTCGTAATCAATCAAACCATTTTTAAAATTATATAAAACTAAAATTTAGAAAATTTTTAACATAAACCTTTTTTTTAAAACAAAAAATAGAATCTATATCTCTAATAGAATGGTATATAAAGCTCATTGATCATTTTTAAAAAATTAGATCTAGGTTAGTGTTTTTGATAACTATGATATATAGGTTAGTGTTTACCATTTTTTATATTTCCGAAATTTAGGAAAAAAAATTTAACAAAAATGTTAAAAGAAACAAAAAATAGAATCTATTTAAAAATTAATGGATAGTCGTTTCAAAAAAAAAAATCAAAAATTAAAAAATATGTATATATATAATAAAAAATTTAAATATATATATATATATCTAACTAATAGAATATCGTTTTAAAAAAAAAATCATATCTAACTAATGGAATTCATTTATTACCGATTGGTTTTAAAAGTCCAGAAAACTTAATAAAATAAAATTGAAATTCATTTTTGTTTTGAATGTGTTTTGTGACTTTTGTCCAGCTTTTGAAAACAAAATTCCGAGGGCGATGTTGTAATAATTTTTTTTACTAGTACACCGAGATAGTAAATAGTGCTCCGTCAGGAGTAATACAGTGTATTTACTACGATGTCACGTGACATATTTACCTAAAACGAAGTCGTTTTTCTTATCACTACCCAATTCGAATCTGACGAAACTGAACCCTAAAATTCTGGCAAAATCGATTTCTTCTTACTTAGCTTCCTCGACATCGAATTTATCAGAATCGCTGCCGCTTTGTACTTCGCCGCCGGAGCCGTCGTTTTTTTTCTTCTTCTTCTGAGCATATCAAAGAACACGAATTCGAGCTCAGTGATAAGTCGTAACTGGTAATGTTAGTTTACAAGCTACTTCTCTATATCTCGATATTTAGAATCGAGACCCTCTGCTTTTGATGTGATTTTTTTTTCTATTATATTTGACTGTGTACACCACTTGTTCGATCATTTGCCTCTAAGAACTAATTAACTTTTTGAAAAAATCTGTGAATTGATTATGCATAATCGCAACTGTATTTGGAGGTTCATGTTTTTGATGGATTTTGGGAAGCAATCATAAGCACTAACAAAATTAGGTTCAGAAGATTCTGATTAATATGTGATTTTATGCTATGATCGTTATAATTTCATATGTAATCGATTGTTTATTGCACCTACATCTCTAGAACTAATGGTAGAAGAAGATTGGCATTAGTCAAAGTCTGAGTTTTTTTCTTCGTTTTAATTCTGTTCAGCAATGATGATGATCATGTGATGGTTCTTGCTGTCCTGAGCCAGTAAGTTCGCGGCGAAACAGAAAGTAGACGCATTTCATTTTATTACAAGCTTCCTCTGTCGGAATGGAAACTACTCAAAGAGATGAGCTTGCAAACTTCTTAAATGTTCTTCCCCCTGTGGATTTCTGTTGTGTTTATGGTTCGACGTTGCACCCAAATAACCAAGATAAGGTATTTATCTTCTCTTGGAACTCTGTGTGATAAGCTTTCCTGTTTCTGATGCGACCTTTGCTCTTGCAGTCTAAAATGGTGGACTATATCCTTGGAGTCTCTGATCCCATGCAATGGCACTCTGAGGTGAGTCTCTGAAGAGAGCTGACAAAACTTTTATTATAAATCGTTGGATTAGAAGCTATGTAATCCCATGGATCCTAATTGTTGTCATTATGTGAATCAAGAATCTGAAAATGAATTCAGATCACTATGCTTCATGGATGGTTCACCTTGGTGGAGCCAGGCTGGTATATTTCTCTCTATATCACATACTCTTGCATTGCTTATACAGCTTAAACACTAAACACACACTTTCTCTTTCCTAGAACAGATTACGAATGTTGCAGATAAAGTAGGAGTTGGAGTTCACTTCAATCCATTTGTCAATTGGAACGACAGGGTAAGAGCTATCCCAAGAATCTGTAGGATTTTCAAAACATAATGAACAATCCAGTTTTGGTAATCCACGCTTGTATTTCTATATCTCATATGTTTACATTATGCTCAGGTTGTTCATATTTTATGTAATTTTAAGCCATTTTTCTTGCATGATTTACTTTCTCTGTGAAGCTCTTTGCAGAAGCTAAAGTATGGGGTTGTTCGGATGCATGAACTAGTACAGGACATACTGGACTGGGACAGATTCTACTTGAGTGGCCGTTTACAAAAACCGGTACGTCAGTTGCTTGGTCTTCTTACTGATAGCCGTGGATCATGAGATGTTTTACCTTTGGTTGCAGGTTCATTTACTTGTTGATAATCTGGACATAGAAGATGTGAATTCCGTTAATAAGAAAGCCGCAGTAGCTGCAGCCCTTCTTCTCTTGCCATCAAAATTCACCGAGGTTAGGTTTTTGTTCAATGCTTATAAATTTTGAAGTTTTATGAGACTGTACACTATATATCTCACAGAACTCTTACGCAGGAAGATCTATACGCCAAAATATGCAGCCTTTCTTACATGGGTGACTTGCGCATGTTGTTTGCAGAGGACACTAATAAGGTGAGAGAACCCTGTCCTGTTCTTGAGTACATCACATAGCGAAAATTATTATCAGAACATGTAAATTACTTACTTTTTGGGGATGAAAAGATTTCTGATCCATAAGTTCGACTCCTATGCCTTTTAGGTGAACAAGATTGTAAAGGGACAATTTGATCTTTTCCAGTCAATGTATAAGCCCTTTCTTGAAGAGTGTGAAACCAAAAACTTGCTGAGATCCTCATCTACTGAAGCTAGTCAAGCTAAATTAGTTCAGGTAGACACTGTTTATATAGCTCCATGGATATATATATATATATTGGCTGAATCTTGAGATTCTTTGAGTCATTGTTCTGATATTGATCCTTAACCAACTTGTGGGGACAGGACTCTAGCCTCTCAGCATCACGCTCTCTGGTCTCTTCTCTTCCCGCTTCAGTAAGAAGCCAAATGGGGAAGTTACTTGGGGAGAAGAAAATCTTGAGTGAGACCGGTATCAACTCTGATCTCTCTCGTTCTCTTTCTCTCTCAAGTTATATGAGGATCCTATAAAAGGAAACTGAGGGATGGTTGAACTGGTATATATATGTATAGGTAGAGTATTGGGAGAAGTTTGTATAGGCTCAAGAGAAGAAGCAGCGAAATGTATGGAGAAGGTAATGAAGCGAAGGGTAATGGTCTCAAGCGCAAGACAAGCTGTGTCGGGTTTCTTGGCTGCTGGAGCTATCAATGCAACTTTGTATCTTTCTCAGAAAATGCGCAAAGCTTGGAATTCTCGGTCATGACTTTGCCAAAAACTCCCCACGATAGTCTAGATGAACAAGTTGAAGAAAGTAGATCTTGCCAGCAAATGTTGATCATTCTTTCTTTTTTTTCTTCTTTTTTCGTTACTATGTCTTCCGATGATCTATAGAAGCAAATAAAAAAATCTCTTTGAAGCTAGCGTTGCTAATTTTAAAAATTTTCATAGAAGTTTTGTATTCAGACTTTTATCAGGAAACGTTTTAGAAGTTTGTAATTTACGTACTTCTTAATTAGTTTGTTATAATATAATTTTGTAGTAGATTGTCTATGTTTAGGAGTTCATAGAAAATGTATAGATAATTTTTTTTTCTATATGATTTTTATTGATAAATGCATTTTAGTCTGTCTTGTGATATTTTGTATGGGAAGTTTTGGGTCCTATACAACGAATATCCAAGTGGTTTATGTTTCACTATATCAATATCAACTAATACAAGTTTTTAGTATATAGAATGCGATCTATATTGATCAAATTTGCTACTACAAGTGTAGTTAATCCAGTCACGAACCCGATTATATATAGTTACTGGGAATCGACTTTCCAATTTTTCTTTTTGTTTTTTACTGTAGCCAAATATTCATGTTGTGTCCTCAGCTCTTTATTTTAGGAATCCTCACGGCTCAAATCTGGGATTCATGACATCACATAGGCTGGGCGTTCGGTTTTTCGGTTCGGGTTCGGTTGGATTTTTCGGTTATCGGTTATTTCGGTAATTGAATTTTAGCACCCATATGAAAACCGATATAATTTCGGATTTTTTCGGTTCGGATTTTGCCGGTTTCGGATCGGTATGGATGCTTGATTTTGAATCCGATTTTCAACCGAAAATTAACGGTTATCCGAATTTAACCAAAAAAACCGATTAACCCCGAAAATTATCGGTTATTTGAAACCAAATTATCCGTTCATAACCATTTTAACCCGAAAGATACAAAAAAAACCAAGTACAACAGCAAAAACTTTAACCAAAAAGAGAAAAAAAATGACAAATGAAAGCACATATGTAAGTTCAAACTTCAAACTTCAAAGTTTCAACATCCAAATTCCAAAATCCAAAGTTCCAAACACAAATGACAAATCCATTATTCCAAACTCTAAATAAAAAGATAGAAAGTTGCATAAGCAAACAACCAATCAACCAAAGTTCAGATTTCTAAAATGAAAATAAGATAGAGATAAAGTAGCATAAGAGAACGGAACCAAAAGCATTCGCCGAAGAGAAAGAACCGAAGAACATAAGCATCCACATTTTGCAGCTTGATGAAGAAGAACCTTGTAGTCTGAAACTTAAACGATGCATTTTGTAAGTCATAACTCATATTCTCATAAGAATTGAGAAATGAGAACTGATAAGTGATACCTTTTACCGTAGAAGACATCAAAATCCTCTAACTCCAAGAGTTGTTTCCACTTTCCACTATTTGTTATGAAACTCTACAACAAACACGAAAACATATAGTGATTAGTGATTACTGATTAGTGAATATTGAATAACAAGTTGTCAAGTACAAAACCCACTATATTTAGTCATTTACCTTTTTGATTTCATCTTGTATTTCGATCTCTGCCATCAGTTGCTTAGTAGTTGTAACTGAACCCTTTTCAGTTAAATGTATAGAGCATTTAAGCCACTGCTCTGTGCACATAAGCACCTCAATCATATAATGTGTAAGACAACTTTTATATGGATCAAGAATACGACCACTTGTGCTAAAAGCGGATTCAGATGCAACAGATGTCACCTGCATTGCTAGCACGTCTCTAGCTATCTCAGACAGAATAGGATACTTCACAGCATTGCGATGCCACCAGCCTAACACACTCCACTCTGTTCCCTTCATAACCATAGGATTCTCAACCTTCTCTTTCAAATAAAGCTCAAGCTCATCACTAGCATCCTGAATCCCATTTTCATTAACCATTTCTCTGTAAAGATTGTCGATTCTTTCATACCCACCACTACAAGTTTCTTCATCTAAATCCACCTCAAACTGATCTTGATCACTCTGAGATGATGGGCCAGCTGAATGAGACTGAGACGCACCAGTAGAACTAGTCTCGGGTTTGCTTAAAACAGAAGTATACTCCTTAAAAAGATTCTCTAACACTTTTGTGACTGATTTTTGAAGCTTAATGCTTTCTGCACTACCCTTTCCGTAGACCATCTCAAAACACATCACAGCAAAATGCATTTTTTTCCTAGGATCAAGCACACTAGCAATAATCAACAGCCGGTTAATTTTCTTCAGACCTGCCCAATACTTGTCAAACTTTTGCCTCATTGCAACTGCCTTCGTTTGCAAAGTAGAATCCGACTCCTTACACGAGTTAATGAGATTCTTCTCAATAGTACAAATCTCATTATACCAATAGCATGCATTAACCCGATTAGAAGCAGAAACCACCAGTGTAGATTCATAAAAAATTTTGAGAAACTTTACCAACCTGGAAACCGCATCCCAATCAGTGTCACACGGAGGGCCAACCCTTTTTTGTCCGTCTTCATTCTCAGCAAAGTGATCAACGTACAACTTATCTTCAAGCTGCATCTTATCGACTGCCACCCTAAACTTCATAGCTCTTGTTAACATCAGATATGTGTTGTTCCAACGAGTTTTAACATCTAAACTCAAGCTACCTCTGCTCATCTTACCACTGTCAACTTTCAGCTCAAAAGACTGTAATCGAGCAGAAGAGCTTCTCACATAGGCCACACCATTACGAATAGCAGAAATATTCTCATCCACGGCTTGCATACCATCTTGTGCAACTAAATTGATGATATGAGCTGCACACCTCATGTGCATGAACTCACCACCTAAAACCAAAGCATTTTCTCCCACCTTTTTGAATTCGTCCTTGAACTCCCTGAGACCTGAGTTGTTAGCCGTAGCATTATCCACTGTGATGGTAAAGATCTTCTTTATATTCCACTCAGCCAAGCAATCGAGAAGACATGTTGCTATAGTCTTCCCTTTGTGATCCGAGACATACTTAAACCCGATTATAAGCTTTCGCAAACACCAATTTGCATCAATGAAATGAGCAGTTACGACCATGTAGCTGTTACCTGTGTTTGGAGCAACCCAGATATCAGTGGTTAGAGAGACCCTTCTATTGCCAATCATCTTCTTCATTTCTTCTTTCTTCCTCACATACATTGCAACTAAATCCTTTGTTGTTGTCCGTCTTGATTGAGGATTGTGAAGCTTCACCTTTTGGCAGAAATGTCTCCACGCTAGACTCTCAACAAATGATAGAGGCAGCTCTCCCAAAACAAGTAGTTCATTAGTAGCCTCATGAAAAACATCTTCAGAAACTTTACCAAACTTAACAGTACCTTCTCTGCCCTCTCGTTGCAAAACAGCCTGGTTTTTTTGCACTTCCTGCCACACCGTGAACTGCTTACACTTTTCCAGATGGTTCTTCAAATTGGTTGTACCATTAACCGATGGGCAGCTAAATTCCCTTCCACAGTAGTGACATTTGCAGCGATCATGGTCATTCTCAAGCCTTGTGTAGTGATCCCATACGAATGATCTTGTGCAAAGCTGCTTCTTGGGTTTAGATGATGCTTCACTTCCCCGTGGATTGTTTTTGGCTTTTCTTTTTCCAGGTTGTGCAGTGGCGTCGTCGGCATCAGCAGCCACCGTTTCTGCGCCTTTGTGTGTATTTGTGTCATCCGGAAATGCAGAAGAATCCATCTGCCAAATAAAAATTTGAAAACAGCAATAAGAAAACGAAATCAGATGAAGACATGAAGTGAAGAAATGATGTCTGCTTACTATAATCGAGTCTGTTAACTAAATCGAAAATAGAAACGAAATTAAACGAAATACATACCTGAGAATGCGAGTGAATGCCTGAATTTTCAGAAGGAGGATTATCATTTTGCAGAGAAGAGGCGAGTGGATTGAGTATGGTTTTTAGGGCTTCCAGTTTTGCGGCTTGATTAAATCGCTTAAGAAGGGGAATACGATAAGGTTGAATCGATATTGACGCTTCGAGAATCGAGTGAATTTAGGATGTTTTGAACAGAATTTGGGAAAAAATGAATCTCAGAATCTCGAAGTGAAAATGAGATATGGGAAGAAGATCGGATTCGGATATGTTTTCGGATATCGGGTTTTATCCGAACCGACTCAATAACCGAAAATTCTAAAAAAACAAACCCGATCGGTTATATCCACAAAACCAAATGTAAACCGAAGTGCTTTTTATCGGATCATATCGGTTCGGGTTTTCGGATTCGGGTAAAAAGCCCAGGCCTAACATCACATGTAAAAAAATAAATAACACTCATTTTTAAGATTAAAACTTCACGGATCAAGGTCTGAATTTATTATTAAGTCATATGTCAAAAACAAAAAAATAATAATATTCAACAGTTAAAGCATTTATATATATACTTCAAATGTGTATATTTATAAAAAAATAATAATAATAATAATCAAAACACATGTATGAGATTTTGATATTTATAAAAAACAACCCCGTGACTAGTTGAAGGTTGACACTATTAATCGTACATTGCTAACTTTAATGTAATTTTTACTACGGGGGACCAATTTTTCACGTTTTCCGTACGATAGCATTCGATTCTCTATACCCATGTGCTCTAGAACTTACCCCAACAATACGATTTTTACTTGTTTGAATCTCTGTTCTTATAATCAGAGCCGGCCTTGAGCCCAAGCAAAGTAAGTTCATGCTTGCAGCCCATATTTTTACGTGAAAATTTTCTAAAACAAAGCAGCCTATTTTTGAAAAAAAAATGTAAAACAATCCATTTTTTGCTCTCTAGCTTGCAGCCCATGCAAAAAATATGAAATTCAGAGTTAGCTATGCTTATAACTAGTTGACTAGTTGTGTTGAATTTAATTGGTTTGTAGATATAAGTTGTCAGAAATTTATCAAAAATGGTTCGGAAATTAATAATGTGCTTTAACAGTTATTTTAACATTTATGATTTTTTTTTTTGAATAACATAACTCTATATAGTTAAATCCCATAAATATTTCTAAGAAACTACCATACTATATACACACATAAAAATTGTGGAAAACTAAACAGAAAGATAAGTAAAAATACTTTTTATATGAGAAAAAAAACTTTTGAACGTAACTAACTATCAAATTGCGTAGCTGACTAAACTGTCTAATAACTAGAATGATATCCATTAATCAATTGACGAATATAAAACGTGAAATTTACCCTTGTTATAAAAAAAAATTATATAAAAACGTGAAATTACAATGCGAGAATTTATAAATATAGACAATGTGAAGTTTCCACTGTATAAATAATTTTTTTTGGTCGGCTTTCCACTGTATAAATTAAAAAGAGAAAGAATTTGTGTCAGTGACCAAAAAAAAAATTAAAATAAAATGAACGTTGGTTACGGAGAGATAATCAGATGGAGTCGGGTCCACACGACAATCACTGCACCTGATAACGTTTTGGGTCCCATACCTCTTACAACACTACAGTCCTCATGTCACCACCACAATCAATCTCTTTCTCTCTCTACTTATTATTACATTCAATGATATATTATATAGTCTGAAACTGTGCAATAATACTTATTTTAATTTTGTCTCCCTCTTTAGAAGATCCATGCGTATAGGTTTATCTTCTAGAGTAAATTGCGTTCTAACTATAATATACTCATTTTACAATTAAAAAATATTGCTCGATTAGAGAAAAGTAAAATGTTTGTTTCATACTTTCATACATGTTACGTTTTAGAGGTAAGCAAACACAAAAAGAATAGACTGAAACAATCAATCTTTTATTTGTACCTTGTAAGTTGTAACGTTTGCTAAAAACAAAACGAAAGAAAATTGTAGACCATATTTGATAAGTCTTTCAAACTAGATCAGAGTGCTAAATTAGCCTTGAAATTGAACATCATACACAAAAATCAGATCGATTTTTCAGTGGGGACAAACGACAAAGAAATAAATATAAAACGAAGCATATACTAAAAAAAATACATTTATTATATTTCCTATCATATGAGAATAAGATGAATGGAGAATTTTCTATGTTTTCTGTATCGTTTTTGTTCAACCATGTAAAACAAACGAGACACTTTGGTGTTTCCTATTCGCTTCGAAACAACCACTTTAAGGGCCTAGTGAGAAAGAGATTGGTGGGCCAAGACAAGAAAGAGGCCCATCTCGCTCCTCGATATATTTAATTTCTCAAATCATGACATATTTGTTTCACATTTAAAAATGTGAAGTTGCTAAAAACACAAAGATTGAAGAAACATGTCATACTTTGATAGTCTGATGTACATATTAATGTTTGGGGAACACTTAATTTTTTTTTCTTAATGCATAATTTAATTAGTTTTCATAAGGTATAAAGAAAACCAAGATGATTGAGAATCGAGACAGTGACACTAACAGAAACAAATAAAAAACCATTAAAAAATAATAATGATAAAAAAGTGTCATATTCTCCTCAAAATCCAAAAAACCTGACAGAAAAAATCTCGTGTACTATTTAATCACTCACTCACAAGAAAAACTCAAATTTAAAATCAAAAAGTAAAAAAAAAAAAAATTAAAATTAAAAAAATCTCACGTTCTCACGTATTTTTGTTTTTTACTTAGCAAAAAAAAATTTACTACAGAAAATAAAAAAAAAATTCACGGCGAAACAAAAGTATTACATAGTCGCCGCCGGCGGCGAATCCACCACGATTAAATTGTTCGAGTCACTAATCTTGCGGATCCTCCTCACCGCCTCCAAGTGAATCACTAGCCTGAGATTCGCCGGAAACTTGCCGTCCGTACTGATTTAAACCGGAGAGAATATTATGCTGTTGTTCTTGCTGTTGATGATGATGATGATGATGATGTCTCTGTGTGTTATGATGATCACCACCGTCACTTCTCCCTCCTTCATTATTATCTTCATTGATCTCATGATTACTACTCGTTGCTAGCTGTTGTCCAGTAAGAAACGCCATTGGCGCTGCGAAATTCATGAAATGTAAACCGCTCGAAACCGCACCGCCTTGAACGCCCGAAACGCTACTTCTGTATAACGCAGCAGCCGCTGTATTAATCGAAGGAAACGTCCAAACAGGCTCTCCACCGCCGCCTCCTCCACCGCTACCAACAGAACCTCCTCCTGTTTGGTTGTTATTACCACCACCACCACCAGCCGCAGCCGCAGCCGCAACCATCCAGAAATTTCCTGGAATTTGCGCGGTTGTAGCGGTTGTAGATCCACTGTTGCTAGATTGAAGAGTATAGCCTAAGCCACTGATTTGATCATGTTGGTGTTGTTGATGCAAATCCGACGTCGTTTGGAGTCTTCTTTTCTTCTCTGAGTTTAACTCTTCCGAATCTTGATCTCCTTCTTGTTTGGTCTGACTATGAAAGTTCAAAAACGACGTCGTTGGTGTGAAGTTATCGATTCCAGGGAACAGAGACGACGTCGTTGCACGTCCTTGTAGATGTTGCTGGTGATGATGATGAAACCCACTTCTTTGTTGCTGTTGTTGAAGTAAAGAAGAGGGAGAGAAGATGTTGTTAGGGCTAAAAGTGGAAGCTGCGTTACGGAAATGAGAAGGGAGAGACATGGAGGAGCCTGAAGAACGTAGAGAGATGTTTAGAGAAGTGAAATTCGCCGGAATTGTTCCTGTTCCGGTGGCGGCGATAACGGAAGGCTCTGCTTGTTGGAGAAGCCACTCGATGGTTTCTCCGTCGGATTTATGGCCAAGCTCTCTCGTAAGCTGAAAAACCCTAGCTGCGCATAACGCAGGCATCCTTATCCTCCTCCCTCTTCCGTCTACTTTCGTGTGTCTATCTTTCGTGGACGCTCGTTTCAACGGCGGCTTTTTAGCTGCGGCTGCAACCGCAGATTGATCCTCTTGCGTTGTTGTTTGTAACTCTTTCTGCGTTGGTTGCGTCGTCTTTTGCTGCGGTTGCGGTTGTTGCGATTGCGATTGAGATAGTTGTTGGTGTTGATGAAGGGAGAAGAGAGAGGAGGAGGAGGGGGAAGGTTGTTGTTGTTGTTGATCGTCGGGGTCTCGTTTTCCGAGGAGTTGAAAAGGGAAAGTAGGGCGGTGATGGTGGTGAAGGTGACGGTGGTGATCGTCTCCTCCACCTCCTCCGACGCTGTCTCCACCGTCCATTATGACATTTAGGACAGTAGATGCTGGTTTTTGCATATATAAGTGGGGAACTATTTTTATATTTATGAAATTAGGGTTTTGGTTTTATTTATATGTGATTTTTCTTTGTTGACAAGAGGAAGAAAAATATAGAAAAGATGCTATTGAGTGAGAACGAGAGGATAAGAGAGAGATACGGAATGGGAAGAAAAGCTTAAAGAAAACGAAGATCATGAGTGAGAATTATACTGGTGACTGGTGAGCTTTACAAAACATTTTTATCAATAAATAAAGAACGCAAAGAAAATAATATTAAAACTCTCATTGCATTTTCTCTTTCTTTTTATTTTCCAAACAAAAAACTGTTCATTTCTCCCTTTCTTCTTTAGATATGCTTCATCTCTCGCTCAATAATAATAATAAAAATACTCAGAGAAACGTCAACAATGGGAGTATCATTTATTAGTTGAAGAAAATAAAAGTATGATATAATCAACGCAAAATGGATTGATGCAATTGGCAAATATGTTTTGATCATCTAACCGTAAATTTGAAACTTTCAACGTTAAGTCCAGCTATATATGTGCCAATCAACCCGTTAACTTAATGTCTACTAAATCCTTCTTAGATTTGACACCATAATTTTGTTTTTTTCCAAAATGAATTTGTTATTCTTAGACCATCTCCATCACTAAGCTCTACAAAAAAAGGTTTTTAAAATTAAAATATTATTATTTTAATATAATTTAGTTATTTGATTTAATTTTAACTATTATTAAACAGATAAGCCAATTAAAAATTGATAGGGGTAGAGACTTTCTTTTATGAATCTCTTATATAAGAGATTTAAGAGCTTCTCCTATAATTTCTCTCTTAATTTTTAAATTTTTTTATTTATTTTATTGATGAAGAACCCTTCCTCATCCCCTTATTGGAGATGCTAGGAGATGAACAATAAGCAATACAAAACCACTGTCACTACATAGATTGTGTTTTTATTGGATCATCGTTTTAGACATTAATTAATAGACGGCAAAAACAATATTTATTCTCTTCTAGTCTTCTTTCATCGTTTCTTTTCTTTATGTAATACTTCAAACTAGTAAAGGCCACCGTAAAAATGGACTAAAATATTCACCGTACAATGAAAATGATTTTTCACGACTAGTTAAAAAAGGAAAAAAATCTGAACGTTGCGTTAATAAATGAGATGAAACTGTACATCGTCGTCTTTAATTTATATACATATATATAAAAATATAAGAAAAAGGTTTTTAAAAAATTCTTCTAATAAATAATAAAAATGAAGATATGGTTGGAGAGAGTCGTTGTGGCTGCAGAGTCCACGTGAGGTGTCCTCTTTTATCATTCATTCCATAAAGACAATGGAGAGGTCGACGCGAAGGTGATGGGCCCCACACTCCTCTTAAAAACCCCATTTGGTCAAAAAATAAAATTAGAAAAAAATACTCTCTCTATTTCAAAACGTTGGGTCCCACATCATTCACGTAATCATTCTTCCTCTGCTACTTTTGCCGGAAATACATTTTACTATAATTATTCATAGTTAATTATTAATATTTTACCAAAGTTATTCTCTTTCTTTTTTATAATCAGATGGCAAATCTCAATACAGTTAATGACTACGTAACACGATTGGCCAAAAGCTGAATTGTGTTTTCGCTAAAATGTTATGTTCTCATTTTATCTGAAAATCCCATTTGAAAACATAAACATTTTAGCAAACAAAATATTAACTAGCACCTCGATTTTATATATTACTAACATTTAAACCTCGTAATTCTTGAATTGTCAAACTAAAACACTACTACTATTTTTTACTCTTCATAACCCTTAGAATTATTTAAACTAAAACCCTAATAATTGCAGATGAAAATCCGACAGTATATTTATGTCAAAATCAATTTTAGTACTATATGGTAATAAATTCATTTAGTTTTGATACACAGTTTCTGTAAATAACAACGCAATATACTTTATGGCGCCATTTTGTAAGTCAAATAGTTTAAGATATATATATATATATATATACATATATACATATGTTGAAGATATTAAATACAAATAACATATTTGTTTTCAGGTTCTCGTTACCCTTTTTAGCTATATCAACCCTCATTATATGTGGTATTATTCGAAGAAATGGTAGTTTTACATGTATGTTACGAACTCTTTTGACGTATTTTACGTATCTGATTTACAACATGGCGCCATAAAGTATAATTCGTAAAATTAACTTTTACAACAGGTAAGAATATATAGAAAGGAGACATAATGAATTTAAAGTATGGTAGAGTAAATGTGGATGATGATAGCTTTGGGATTCCCTCTCTTATTTTTCAATTATCTTTACAAAAACTTTGATAACTATGAATGATGATTATATTTGATGATGGTACTTGCTTTCGTCTATTGGTCTTTTAAATTAATTCTTTGGTTAGGGTTTTATTAAAAGAAAAATCGGGCACTAGCTAGGGCTCAACCTTGAATAATTACACTCTTTAGTTTATTACTTAACTAATTCACTAATCAATTGGTTTGTACTATTAATTAATTATTGTAGATTGAAGTCTACTCCCACCTAGGACGGAATCAAATGGATTGTTCATATACATAAATGTAAAATGGCAGAAACACGG